GAGAGAAAAACATTGTTCCGGCTGAAAAAACAAGCCGAAAAGTACGGATTATAAGATGTTTAACAGGGCCTTAGCCCTTTTAGCCCACCACGAGGGGCAAGTAAAACTACATATGACTAGTAAAAGCTCTTAACAGATGTCTGGTGATAAAAATTGCACAACTAAAAAAATACTCTTAGCTGACACACTAGCATGCAAGTCTATCCTATCAAAAAAAGCATTCAAGTCTCACCGACATCGAGCTTAATACTCTAATGCCGGTGAAATGGAAAAGACCCAATGAGCCTAAAGGAATGTTTGGATCTTTAGTCCTTCGACTAAAGTTTAGTCCCTAAAGTTTAGCCCAATATGGCTGTTTGGTTTTAGGTGCTAAAAGATGCTAAAAGGTGACTAAAAGGTGAAAAGGAGAGTAGAAAGAAAGAGAGTGGAAGCACCTTTAGACCCCATTCGCTTCACTGAAAAAAAATAAGCTAAAACATCATTACGACTAATTTGTTGTGAGAGAAAAACACTGCTCCTATTTGAAAAGACAAGCCAAAAAGTACAGATTATAAGACAAGTTTAACAGGGCCTTAGCCCTTTCTAGCCCACCCACGAGGGGCAAGTAAAACTACAGCCTCATTTAGTTCCCTCCCAAAATACCAAATTTTTCAAAATTCCCGTCACATCGAATCTTTGGACGCATGCATGAAGTATTAAATATAAATAAAAAATAAAACTAATTACATAGTTTAGACGAAATCCACGAGACTTAATCTTTTAAGCCTAATTAGACTATGATTGGACACTAATTGCCAAATAACAACGAAAACGTTACAGTGTCATTTTGCCAAAAAATTCGGCAACCAAACTGGCCCTACGTATGACTAGTAAAAGCTCTTAACAGATGCTCGGTGCTAAAAATTGCACAACTAGAAAAAAATTTTAGTTGAGACACTAGGATGCAAGTCTATCGTATCAAAGAAAAGCATTCAAGTCTACCGACATCGAGCTTAATACTCTAATGCCGGTGGACAGGAAAAGACCCACCGTGCCTAAGGGCATGTTTGGATCTTTAGTCCTTCGACTAAAGTTTAGTCCTCAAAGTTTAGCCCAATATGGCTGTTTGGTTTCAGGTGCTAAAAGACGCTAAAAGATGACTAAAAGGTGAAAAAGAGAGTAGAAAGAAAGAGAGTGGAAGCACTTTTAGGCCCCGTTCGCTTCGCTAAAAAAACAAGCCGAAACACTGTTACGACTGATTTGTTGTGAGAGAAAAACGCTGTTCCGGCTGAAAAGACAAGCCGAAAAGTACGGATTATAAGACAAGCGAACAGGGCCTTAGCCCTTTTTAGCCCACCACGAGGGGCAAGTAAAACTACTTATGACTAGTAAAAGCTCTTAACAGATGTCTGGTGATAAAAATTGCACAACTAGAAAAAAAAACTCTTAGCTGAGACACTAGCATGCAAGTCTATCCTATAAAAAAAAAGCATTCAAGTCTACCGACATCGAGCTTAATACTCTAATGCCGGTGGATAGGAAAAGACCCACCGTGTCTAAGGGCATATTTGGATCTTTAGTCCTTCGACTAAAGTTTAGCCCAATATGGCTGTTTGGTTTCAGATGCTAAAAGACGCTTAAAGGTGACTAAAAGGTGAAAAGGAGAGTAGAAAGAAAGAGAGTGGAAGCACTTTTAGGCCCCATTCGCTTCGCTGAAAAAACAAGCTAAAACACTGTTATGACTGATTTACAGAGAGAAAAACATTGTTCCTATTTGAAAAAGATAAGCCAAAAAGTACAGATTATAAGATAAGCGAACAGGGCCTTAGCCCTTTTTAGCCCACCACGAGGGGCAAATAAAACTACATATGACTAGTAAAAGTTGTTAAGAGATGCCTGGTGATAAAAATTGCACAACTAGAAAAAAACTCTTAGCTGAGACACTAGCATGCAAGTCTATCGTATCAAAAAAAAGCATTCAAGTCTACCAACATCGAGCTTAATACTATAATGCCGGTGGACAGGAAAAGACCCACCGAGCCTAAGGGCATGTTTGGATCTTTAGGCCTTCAACTAAAGTTTAGTCCCCAAAGTTTAGCCCAATATGGTTGTTTGGTTTTAGGTGCTAAAAGATGCTAAAAGGTGACTAAAAGGTGAAAAGGAGAGTAGAAAGAAAGAGAGTGGAAGCACCTTTAGACCCCATTCGCTTCGCTGAAAAAAAATAAGCTAAAACATCGTTATTTACGACTAATTTGTTGTGAGAGAAAACACTGCTCCTAATTGAAAAGACAAGCCAAAAAGTACAGATTATAAGACAAGTTTAACAGGGCCTTAGCCCTTTCTAGCCCACCACGAGGGGCAAGTAAAACTACAATACTGCTTAGTTCCCTCCCAAAATACCAAATTTTTAAAATTCCCCGTCACATCGAATCTTTGGACGCATGCATGAAGTATTAAATATAAATAAAAAATAAAACTAATTACATAGTTTAGACGAAATCCACGAGACGAATCTTTTAAGCCTAATTAGACTATGATTGGACACTAATTGCCAAATAACAACGAAAACGTTACAGTGTCATTTTGCCAAAAAAATCGGCAACCAAACTGGCCCTACGTATGACTAGTAAAAGCTCTTAACAGATGCCTGGTGCTAAAAATTGCACAACTAGAAAAAAAAATTCTTAGTTGAGACACTAGGATGCAAGTCTATCGTATCAAAGAAAAGCATTCAAGTTCACCGACATCGAGCTTAATACTCTAATGCCGGTGGACAGGAAAAGACCCACCGTGCCTAAGGGCATGTTTGGATCTTTAGTCCTTCGACTAAAGTTTAGTCCTCAAAGTTTAGCCCAATATGGCTGTTTGGTTTCAGGTGCTAAAAGACGCTAAAAGATGACTAAAAGGTGAAAAAGAGAGTAGAAAGAAAGAGAGTGGAAGCACTTTTAGGCCCTGTTTCGCCGCTAAAAAAAAAATGTCAAACACGCTCACGACTGTTGATTTGTTGTGAGAGAAAAAGCTGTTCCTATTTGAAAAGACAAGCCGAAAAGTACGGATTATAAGACAATGAACAGGCCTTAGCCTTTTTTTAGCCCACCACGAGGGGCAAGTAAAACTACTTATGACTAGTAAAAGCTCTTAACAGATGTCCGGTGATAAAATTGCACAACTAGAAAAAAAAAAACTCTTAATGAGACACTAGCATGCAAGTCTATCCTATAAAAAAAAAGCATTCAAGTCTACCGACATCGAGCTTAATACTCTAATGCGGTGATGGAAAAAGACCCACCGTGTCTAAGGGCATATTTGGATCTTTAGTCCTTCGACTAAAGTTTAGCCCAATATGGCTGTTTGGTTTCAGATGCTAAAAGACGCTTAAAGGTGACTAAAAGGTGAAAAGGAGAGTAGAAAGAAAGAGAGTGGAAGCACTTTTAGGCCCCATTCGCTTCGCTGAAAAAACAAGCTAAAACACTGTTATGACTGATTTGTTGTGAGAGAAAAACATTGTTCCTGCTGAAAAGATAAACCGAAAAGTACAGATTATAAGACAAGCGAACAGGGCCTTAGACCTTTTTAGCCCACCACGAGGGGCAACTGGACTAATGAAGGTTAAAAATTTGTCATCTTGTTTTAGCCCACCTGTTAGGTTCTCAAAAGCTAAAAATAGGTGTGGAAATAAAACAGTTTAGACCATGGAAACCAAACACGCCCAACGACTCGAATACTGGTGGACAGGAAACCACCCATGGACCCGCCGCCTTCCACCACCCAACGCGCGGTTCTTTACCTCCATTTTTAAAATTTGTATAAATTATTTTTTTTCTTTTTAAAACCTCTTCCATCAAGTCGGCCGGCTCTCTCTTTTGATTTTGCCATGGCCCACAGAGGGAGAGAGGGAAGAGCGCGGGCATGGACGTGGCCGAGCCAGGTCGGCGAACGTGGCATGCGGGAAGCCCGTTTGCGTAGTCGGGCTTATCCCTGTACGCTGGCCAGGCCAGCGGCCCACAGAGGGAGAGTGGGAAGAGCACGGCCATAGACGTGGCATGCGGGAAGCCCGTTTACGCAGTTGGGCTTATCCCTGCACGCTGACCAGGCCAGATGGGACGATGGGCCCACATGCAGCGAGAGCTCATCTCCTCAAAAAAAATATAGTACAGTAATGTGCAAACAGAAAAAAGTTAAAACATGTTTGACAGTTTCCATAGTACAAATTTTAATTTGAAAAAGTTAAAACACGTTTGACCGTTTTCATAGCACAAATTTTAATTTGTATAAACTTCTAGGTACAATAAGATCCTCTCTATTAACGTGGACACAATAAGCCCTGGCCTCCCATCTCGATCTAAGAATCATGGAATATTGAGCAGATGTACTCCAGCTTCGTATTTTACATTTCACCAGTTTCACGTTCTTCGTTGCTTTAGAATTGTCATAGACAAAGATTAACCTGTCCAAATATAACTCTAGAAACTTCAATTATAATTCCACCTTATCAAAATTCAGTTCAAGTTCTTCGTTGCTTTAGAATTGGCACAGACAATGATTAACCAGTCCAGACAGTCTAGCAACTTCAATCATAATTCCACCTTATCAGAATTCAGGGTAAGATTGCACTTAATTGGAACTTTCAGTTCAACATTTGAGCCAAAACACAAAGCATTATTTTACTACACATCAGATAATAAAAATCAAAGGTGAACCTTGCACTAAGGTTTGACTTAAACCCCAGAATTCCCACAATCTCGGGTTCCTACCAGACTAAAACAAGCAAATTTCAGATTAATTTCTAACCCTGTCGTGTGAGCTGAGAACCTGTGGCCCTGATATAGCTCTGTTGAGGTGCCAGCATGTAGGAATTTCTTTAGTACCAAAATGTTAGTTATATACTCCCTTCCACAATTTTGAATACTCATCAGAACCAAACAAACATAAAATTGCAGCAACTTTGTGATCTTCAATCCCTTAGACTCCCAGCAGTGTTCTCGTACAACTGAAGGGCTATTGCATGAGCGTCCTCTATATTAGGAGACCAATGGCTTGGCGTGCACGTTAAATTGGGTCTTCCTGTTAGGATGCCACACGCTGCGGATCCTTTCAACAACCTCCATGATCTCCGAAGAAACAGGGGCAAGTGGCACCGTAATGTCCACTCTTTTAAGGGTTACAGTGTTGCATCTAGACAGCAACAATTTCATAAATTCCTCCTGTTCATCTGAACCTGTAAAGAATTTGATTCCAATCTCTTCAAGTGAATCAAATGCGATGCCATCCAGCCTGTAATTCTCTGGCAGAAGACAAGGACAGCCTGACACAGAACAAGATCTCTTCTGAAAATAAGTAAAAAAAAATGTTAGCAGACAGGCCATGTCTCGAAGAAACAATGTTAATGTTTGCCATTTGGGAGGGGAGCTGTTATGACCGGCGTCTACTATAATAGGCGTAGGCCCATTAGTGGCTAGAGGAGGACGCCAGCTATAGGGGCTAACAGCCCATATTATTATTATTAGCTATTTATGGTATTTATTCCTTAATTATAGGATCTAGAGAGGATAAAGACTCTGTAAACAATTGGGATTGGAATTAAGTAGAAGCAACATAATTGTTGCCGGCTTCCCTTGGGAGCCCTAGCCGCACCTCCTCTTCCTCCTTGCGCTGTGATCACCACGGCGCCAACCCGCCGCCGCTTCCCTAAACCTCGCCCTCCGCTCTTCCATCCCTACAACCTTCGCAGCAACTCCGGTAGGGCACCTAGTCCTATCAATCTGGTATCAGAGATGTCAGGCCCTCCTTCCACCTCCACCAGCCCACCGCCGCTGCCGCCAATCACCACTGCGCAGCTGCTGCCATCCGCTTCGGCGGCCGTTTCGTCCTCTACAATGTCGATGGAGCAGATGACCGCAGCCATCCACGAGCTGTCCCGTTCCATGGCCGTGATGCAGTCCTACCTCCTCAGCTCACAGCAGCCGCTGCCCTCCCCACCGCCGCCGCAATCGGCCATGGCCTCACTGCCGCCGGTTTTCCCTACTGGGATGCCCCAGTCCAGCACCACAGGCGTGCCCATCCATCTACTACGGATGCCGCCCTCCCCGTCGCCGATCCCATCTTATGCCCTAGCCCCGACGGTCGGGCCGGTGTATATGATGGCAACGTTTCCGGCGACCACGACGTTGGCTGCACCAGCCCCTACCACAGGCGCCCAGATCCACTACGGTGGGGTGGTACAGCAGCCCTCCTACACGGAGGGGGTTTTCTATGGAGGCGTTGATGGCCCAATACTCTACGGCGGCAACATGCAGCACCACTCCGGCGCCTCGTCGTCCGCGGCCTTTGATCCAGAACCAGCAGCTCCGGGTGTCAGCCACGGCACTCACCCTCCGCGCTTCTACAAGCTGGAGTTCCCCACCTACGATGGCGCCGAGGATCCCCTCAATTGGCTCAATCATTGTGACCAATTCTTCCGCGGGCAGCGTACCCTGGCCTCGGACCGCACTTGGCTTGCGTCGTACCATCTCACCGGCGCGGCCCAAACATGGTACTATGCCCTCGAGCAAGACGAGGGCATGCCTACGTGGGATCGTTTCAAGGAGCTGTGCAATCTGCAATTTAGGCCGGCTATTCGTGGGACCCGTCATTTTCTTGTTCGTACAGATCACTACAACCTCAAGTTCCTGCTAGACCAACGCCTCTCAACTGTACCTTAACACCAGTGGATCAGCAAGTTGTTTGGCTTTGATTTTGCTGTGGAGTATCGCCCTGGCCGCCTAAACATCGTGGCGCATGCGCTGTCCCGCCGCGGCATGGAGGAGGGTCCAGCTACTGTCCCTGAGGCTCATGCCCTCTCCGGGCCGACGTTCGCCCTCTTTGATGACATTCGCCGAGCTACAACAGCAGCTGCGGACGCCCAGCAGCTCCTCCAGCGCTTGCAAGCTGGTGAGTTGCCGGCACCGTGACACTTCGACGACGGTCTCCTTCTCCACGGGTCCCGCATCTTCGTCCCGGACCATGACGGCCTGTGCCACCAAGTCCTCTTGGCTCATTCGGCGGGCCATGAGGGGGTCCAGAAGACTCTGTACCGCTTGCGTGCCGACTTCTACATTCCGGGAGACCGCGCCCTTGTCCAGGATTGGGTGCGGGCGTGCAGCACGTGCCAGCGGAACAAGATGGAGTCGCTACAGCCCCGCCAGCCTGCTGCAGCCCCTCGAAGTTTCGTCCCAGGTGTGGGCGGATATGTCCATGGACTTCATCGAGGGGCTGCCCAAGGTCAGCGGCAAATCCGTCATTCTCACGGTGGTCGACCGCTTCTCCAAGTATGCACATTTCATCGCCCTTGGTCACCCCTACACCGCCGCCTCCGTCGTCCGTGTTTTCTTCGACGGCATCGTTCGACTGCATGGTTTTCCATCGTCAGCGACAGGGACCCCGTGTTCACCGGTCACGTGTGGCGCGACCTCTTCAAGATGGCAGGCGTCACCTTGCGCATGAGCACGGCCTTCCACCCTCAGACGGACGGCCAGTCGGAGGTGGTCAACAAGGTGATTGCGATGTATTTACGTTGTGTTACAGGTGATCGGCCGCGGGCGTGGGTGGACTGGTTGCCTTGGGCGGAGTATTGCTACAACACCTCCTTTCATACCGCCGTGCGTGCCACCCCGTTCGAAGTGGTCTACGGCCGACCGCCCCGCCGATACTACCATACCAACCGGGGTCGGCGCAGACTGACACGGCCGACGCCCTACTACTCGCAGTAGAGATGAGGTGTTGGTCGAGGTCCCAAGATGCCTCCTTCAGTATGCAAAGACTATCTAAGAAGTACTACGACGCGGCCACCGCGACACGGAGTTCTTGTGGCGATTGGTTTTAATCGCTACCGCCTTTACTTCCGGACCACGCAGCCTTTGGAGCCCCGGGCAAAAGGAAGCTTGGCCTCGCCACGCCGGGCCATTCAAGTCTGCCGGAGCGATTGGCGGGGTTGCCCTACCGGCATTGCTGCAGCTTCGGCCGGGCGCTGATCGCATGGCGCCTTCCATGTGGGCTTGCTCAAGCCTCTGAGGGGATCCTCCGCCGCCTTTCTTTTTTTCTGCTTGTTGTTGGATGGTCGGCTCCTTGCTCTGAGCGCCCTCGAGCTCAACTCGGTGGGCGCTTGGCACGTCCTCACCCAATGGCGCGGATCGCCCAAATGACGTAAGCCACTTGGGAGCTCCTCGACGACTTCAAAGGCCTCTACCTCGACTTTCACTCGAGGACGAGAAAGCCTGTTGCTATGAGCGGGAGAGATGTTATGACCCGGCGTCTACTATAATAGGCGCAGCCCATTAGTGGCTAGAGGAGGACGCCGACTATAGGGGCTAATGGCCCATATTATTATTATTAGCTATTTATGGTATTTATTCCTTAATTATAGGATCCTAGAGAGGATAAAGACTCAGTAAACAATTGAGATTGGAATTATGTGAAGCAACATAATTGTTGCTTGGCTTCCCTTGGGAGCCCTAGCCACACCCTCTTCCTCCCTTGCTGTCAGGATCACCACAGGCGCCAACCCGCCGCCGCTTCCCTAAACCTCGCCCTCCGCTCTTCCATCCCTACAACCTTCGCAGCAACTCCGGTAGGGCACCTAGTCCTATTAGGAGCACTGACCTAGTTCTCAACATGAGTGTATGTGATATAGCATGTGTAAATGTTTTAGGTTTACAAGCCTATGCAACACCTACACAATAGTATGACATTCAGATCCCCTAGCAATCTTCTATCATATACGTACATCTATTGGTACCCACTACTGCTTTGGGTTTGGGTTAATTATTTTCTTGATTTCCTACGTGAAACAAACTTTCTTACGTGGAACCTGTATCGACTAGACTAACTATTGTGAATCAGCTGCTCCTTCTTACTCTCCTCACTTGTGTCGACTAGACCAACCATATTGCATTTGTTTTGAGAAAAAAAGCTGTTAGTTAATTAGCTGATGTGTTGTGTGGCATTGCATATGATTGAGCTGCTAACCGAATATCCTTTTTCATCATGTATAGCTGGAGAAATGTAGAGCTGTAATCTAATTTATTATATAACTATATATTTTATAACTAGCGACTTCTAACTTATTAATTTATACTTATCTTCATGTCAAACAGTAAAAGTCACATAATACGAAATCATTTTTTGATTTGACCATGAGAAAGCCTTGACAGTGTGATAAAATATTAGTTCCTGATATACTGTGAGTGCAGACCTAATTCCTTGATAGCAGAGATCGCATGATTCAAAATACATATAATTGCTGCAATGAACTAGTTATAGTCACACACAAAGCTAAAAGCTTAGAAGTACCTTTGGTGGACCACTCTGATCAAGAAATAATTTCAATTTCCTGATACAGCTGCATCTTCTAAGGAGATGAAACATCACTGCCGAAAGAGCATGGTGATTCGCCACGAAATTAATAACAAGAGATCCACATATTGGAAGCTTATCCATTTCCTGCAGGAAGGTCACATATCCAGCTATTTCCTGCCATATGCACAATTTTCATTAAGTTTAATGAGAAGATGAAATCAGCAAATTATCACTAGTTTTGTTTGCAAAATTACCAATGTTTCAGCTCTAATTCTTGAAACAGAGTAATTGACATTGGCCCTATTGATGAATTATAAGAATAGAATGATAGAAAAGTTGCTCTTAACTCGTGTCTTCAGAACAGCTATATATTACAGTTCTTAAGGATAGGGAAGTAGTAGCTTCAATGCAAGCAGATACAGGAGTTTTCACTAAGTTATGTCCAAAATTATCAAGTTTTGCATTTAGTTTAGCTTGGCTACCTTTTAAAAAATTGTACAATGTTTTTCCTGGTTTGCGGATGTAACATTTAACCTTGAATTTGTTGTGAAATTCTGTACACAAACAAATTACCTGATAAAGTGTGAGAGAAATTATCAGCTCCTTGGCAGAATCATATCTCTCCATCAGTCGTGTGGACGAAATGAGTCTTCCAAGAAAGTTCGAGTGCATGATGTATAGTGACTGAAGATGACGTCCGGACACAGCAAAATGGTGTAGGCCAGGATTATATCTGCATCTCCAGCATCGGGCCGACTATGCGAGCCTCAGCAACGTGAGACACAGAAATCTCTTGTAGCATTGGGGCGTTGACCTCCAGCTTCCCGGTGTTGAAGCCACCGTAGTAGTCGAGACACTCGAGAGATTCCGAACGCATGGACACGTCGGAGACCGGCGCGAGGTTCGACACATAAACACCGAGCTTCCGCAGGAGCGGGCACTGGGAGAGGACACGACACGCCCCAGCTCGCCGCCGGCCATTTGGGTGCATGATATCTTTAGATCAGTAAGGGCCGAGAAGGAGCCGGTCGGCGGAGGCCGGAAAACAAATCCTGTCAGGTGTCCGATGTCAATCTCCGTAGCTCTCTCGCAGATGGGCAACGCGAGCTCCTCCTTGATGTCCCCGTACCTTCGGGGATCTTCCTTCAGGTAGACACGGAGGCGTAGCTTGCCGGCGAGGCGCTGGGAGGCGAAGCGGAGCCATGGAGCGATACGGTCAGCGGGGACGTCCCACTGGTCGACAACACTTACCTCGATCTTGAGGCTGTGGAGGGTAGGTGCGGCGTAGGAGTTGAGGGCGGCGTTGATGGAGTCGAGAAGCGCCAAGAGCGGCGTCGATGGAGTAGGGCTGCCGCTGCAGAGGACGAGTTCCGGCATGTGGGCCCAGACGCCTCGCCATCGGCGGGAGAGGACGCTGGTGCGCGCGGCGGCCGCGGCGGACGGCAGGCGGACGAGGATGGTGTGCAGAAGCTCGTCGGGAAGGCCGCTGATGTGGTCCTCCGCGCCGCGGCGGCGGATTGCGGGATGCTCCATGGGAAAGGCAGTGGATGGCTAGGGTTGGGACTTGGGCTTGGGGATCAGAATTGTGTGTTATTGTGTATATTTTCCGCAGGCGAGGCGGCGTCGGACTCGGACGGGAGGCCCGTTTGTGCAGCAGGGCTAGCTTGGAACGTGCCGTGGCCCGTGGCTGTGCTCACGGATGGCGGGAGCCGTGGGCCGTTTCGCGCGCGTGTGGCGCAAACAAAGCTTCAAGTTTGTGACGTGCAAACAGAATTGATCGTTTCCATAGTACCAATTTTGTATGTGCGTATACTAAGTTACTAACATGAACACAATAATCCCTGGCTCCTCCATCTAAGAATCATGACATTATGAGCAAGATGTATTCGAGCTTTGCATTTCACTTTTCATCGGTTTCAAGTTCTTCTCATTGCTTTAGAATTGGCACACAGACAAAGATTAACCTGTCTAAATAAAAGTCTAGAAACTTCAATCATATCAGAGTTCAAAAAAGAAACTTCAATCATATATATTCGACCTTTGTTGGTTCACTATCAAAATTCAGGTAAAGGTTACACTTCATTTGAACTTTCAGTTAAACATTTGAACCAAAGTTAGCCAAAACATAAAGCATTAGTTTACTACACCACATGGTAAAAATCAAAGGTCACTAAGGTTTGATTTAAAGCTAGCCCCGAATTTCTACAATCTCAGGTTTCCTACCTGTAGACTGAAACAAGCAAATTTCAGATTAATTTCTAAACCCTATGTCAGCTGAGAACACCTGCCCTGTTATAGCTCAATTGAGGTACCAGCATGTAGGAATCTCTCTTATATATAGTATACTAAAATATTAGTTGCATATCCCTTCCATAATGTAAATTCTCACGAAGAATAAAACTAACATAAATTTGCAGTAACTTTGGGAGCTTCAATAATCCTTTAGACTTCTAGCAATGTTCTCATAAAATTGAAGGCCTATCAAATGATGTGGCATGTTGGCGTCCTCTATATTAGGGGGCAAATGGATTCGGCACCTCCCTTGGGAGCACATTAAATTGGACCTTGCTGTTAGGATGACACACGCTGCGGATCCTTTCAACAACCTCCATGATCTCTGAAAAACAGTGTCAGGTACCGTAATGTCCACCCTTTTAAGGGTTGCCGCATTGCATTTAGACAACAACAATTTCATAAATTCCTCCTGTTCATCTGAACCTGTAAAGAAATTTATCTCAATCTCTTCAAGTGAATCAAATGCGATGCCATCCAACTTGTAATTCTCAGGTAGAAGACAATGACAGCCTGATATAGATCGAACAAGGTGTCACCTAAAATAAGTAAAAAAATGTTAGCAGAGACGGGACATGTATTTACTACCGGAAACAGTAGCTTTGCTGTGTGCCCTGGGCACACGGCAAAGCCCAAAAGATACTTGGCAAAGGCTTTGCCGAGTGTAACACTCGGTAAACAGTACACGGCAAATACAGTGTCGGCAAATGTTTCTTTGCCGAGTGTTTTTTTGTCGGGCGAGAGCTGAAACAGACGCTCGGCAAAAAAAAGTAACGTGACGGCGCGGAGATGGTCACGGCGCATTTGCCGAGTGTCTAACGGCCTCGGCACTCGGTAAAAATGCCCTTGTTTGTCGAGTGCCCCAGCTTTGACACTCGGCAAATATGCCTGTCTTTGCCGAGTGTCCAGGCCCTAACAGGCCCTGACACTCGACAAACATGACTTCTTTGTCGAGTGTCATAATCTAGACACTCGGCAAAGACTGTCCAGGCCCTGACCACCCTTCTTCTTCTTGAAGGTCATCTTATCCTTCTTGTCTTTCTTTTCCCTCTTGTCCATCTTCTTGTTCTTCTTGTCATCATCTTTGTCACTATTGTATGGACATTGAGCAACAAGATGATCTTTGATTCTACAATTGAAGCACCTTCTTGACTCTTACTCGTTCTTGGATGAAGATTTCTTTGTTCTAGCATGGTAGCCCTTCTTCATCATGAACTTGCCAAATCTCTTGACAAAGAGAGCCATCTTCTCATCGTCATCATCATCCCATGCGCCATCATCTTCACTTGATGTATCTTGCTTTGCCTTGTCTTTGGATGATGTGGCCTTGAATGCCACACTCTTCTTCTTCTCATCCTTCTTCTCATCTTTCTTCTCCTTCTTTTCTTTCTTCTCATCATCATCTCTATATGTATCATCGGTCATTATGTCTACCAACACTTGGTTTGGTGTCATGGTGTCCAAACCACTCCTCACTAGAATAGTGACTAATGTGTCAAATCTTGAAGGCAAACATCTCAAGAACTTGTGGAAAAAGTTCTTATCTTTTACCTCTTCTTCAAGTGCTTTGAGATCATTGACAAGCACTTGAAGCCTATGGAACATTTCTGGCACACTCTCATCCTCCTTTATCTTGAAGCTTGCAAAGTTCTCTTTGAGAATGTATGTCTTTGCACCCTTCACGACTTGAGTGCCCTCAAATGATTCCTCCAATTTCTTTCATGCCTCATGAGCTCTCTCAATGTTTTTGATTTACTCAAAAGTTCTCTCATCCAAAGCATCATGGATGGCACTAAAGCAATGTCATTATTTTGGAGTAGCATTTCTTCGGCGGCGGTGGGAGCCTCTTCATCTTCAATCTCAATCTTTGTCTCTTCTACCTTCCAAACCTTCTTATTGATTGACTTGATATAAGTTATTATCTTAGCTTTTCAATAGGGATAATTTGAGCCATCAAATTAGGGTGGCTTCTTGGTATTGTTGATTTGAGTCATTTTTACACCGAAGATTGTTAAGCCTCAAATCATGGTGACCTCGGCTCTGATACCACTTGAAAGGTCCTAATGGCTAGAAGGGGGGTGAATAGCCTATTAAAAATTTCTACAACAACACTTAGCAACCCGGTTAGACAATTATGAGGCGAAGCAAGTGTTGCGCTAGCCTACTAAAATTGCAAGCCACCTACCACAATTCTAGTTTATATAGTTTCTATCCACACAAAAGCTATGTCACTACACTAAGTTAGTGCGCTCTTAAATGCTAACTAAAGAGCCACACTAACCAAACTCACAAGCTCTCACAACTAGCTATACTAAACAGCTTGACAACTAGTTTGCGGTAATATAAAGAGAGTGAGCAAGATGGTTATACCGCCGTGTCGAGGAAGGAGTCAATTAATCACAAGAATGAATACCAATGAAGATCAATCACCTCGGATTCAAATGATGACACAATGATTTTTACCGAGGTTCACTTGCTTGCCGGTAAGCTAGTTCTCGTTGTGGCGATTCACTCACTTAGAGGTTCACGTGCTAATTGGCATCACACGCCAAACCCTCAATAGGGTGCCGCACAACCAACATAAGATAAGGATCACATAAGCCATGAGCAATCTACTAGAGTACCTTTTGGCTCTTCGCTAGGGAAAGGTCAAGAACCCCTCACAATCACCACGATCGGAGCCGAAGATAATCACCACCCTCCGCTCGACGATCCTCGCTGCTCCAAGCCATCTAGGTGGCGGCAACCACCAAGAGTAACAAGTGAATCCCGCAGCGAAACACGAACACCAAGCGTCTCTAGATGCAAACACTCAAGCAATGCACTTGGATTCACTCCCAATCTCACAAAGATGATGAATCAATGATGGAGATGAGTGGGAGGGCTTTGGCTAAGCTCACAAGGTTGCTATGTCAATGTAAATGGCCAAGAGAGTAAGCTAGAGCCAGCCATGGGGCTTAAATAGAAAGCCCCTACGAATAGAGCCGTTGGGCTCCTCACTGCACTGAACACAAGATGACCGGACGCGTCGGTCGATGTGATCGGACGCTGGACCTCAGCGTCCGGTCGCGCGATGCACGCCATGTGTCCCCTGATTCAAATGCTGACCGCTCGATCTCAATGGTCATCAGTACATTTAAGTTGTGACCGGATGCGCTGCTTCGAAGTGACCTCGTTTCTAGTAAGCATCTAGAAGCAAGAAATCATGCCCAATCGGACACACCCAGCGTCCGGTCACTAAACATCATCATACGTCATACTGACCGGACTCAGGCCCTGAGCGTCCGGTCAGTTTTCGCGCCAGCGTCCGGTCATTAGACCGAAACTGCACGCACACTGCTGCCACTGACCAGACGCGCCGGTCCTACCGAGATCAGCGTCCGGTCACTTACTGTGACCACGTTCACCTGGGTTTAGCCACCGAACACGTCCGTTGCACTCTATGAAACCCTGTCTTTTCTGTACAGGGCGTCGGTGAGGTTTCTTACCCTGCTCAAATGTGCCAACCACCAAGTGTATCACCTTATGCACATGTGTGTTAGCATATTTTCACAAATATTTTCAAGGGTGTTAGCACTCCACTAGATCCTAAATGCATATGCAATGAGTTAGAGCATCTAGTGGCACTTTGATAACCGCATTTCGATACGAGTTTCACTCCTCTTAATAGTACAGCTATCGATCCTAAATGTGATCACACTCACTAAGTGTCTTGATCACCAAAACAAAATGGCTAATGCTATTTATATCTTTGCCTTGAGTCTTTTATTTTTCTCTTTCTTTTTTTCAAGTCCAAGCACTTGATCATCACCATAGCATCACCATCATCATGTCATGATCTTCATTTGCTTCATCACTTGGAATGTGCTACCTATCACGTGATCGATAAACTAGGTTAGCACTTAGGGTTTCATCAATTCACCAAAACCAAACTACAGCTTTCAATCTCCTATTTTTTCATTTTCCTTCTCCTCCTTTTCCATAACACGTTTTTCTCAATTTGTTTCGATGTACTTTGAAAATATCTTGTCAAATTCACTCAACAATATATATTTGATTTTTCTAGGAATATTATTCCATTATTTGATGCAGTTACAGCTCAAATTTAATTTATATCAATTAAAATTCTATAATTGCACTTAATAAATTAAAATTATCAAAAATATCCAAAAATTTACCAAAATTTCACATATAACAATCTATGTTCTTTATTGCCTATACAAAAAGTTTTGAAGTCAAAC